AACCACCTAAGGAAACCACATCATGAAACAACCATGGAAACCGTTGTTGGCAAACCTAATGAAACCCATGGTTGAAACCCATGGTTGAAACCTGTAATTGAAACTGTTGATTGCTTTGAAACCACCTCATGAAACCCATGGTTGAAACGTAGTGGCTTGGTTGACGTTGGAAGGGGAGCAAACATTCTCAAGTTTTAGCAGTTAAGTGGTTGGAGTTCAACCACTAAACCATAAACAAAAAATGCAACATGTTTCGCAACAACATCCATGGTTGCGGAGACCACCGAAGGAAACCACCTAAGGAAACCACAGCATGAAACAACCATGGAACCGAGTTCCATTTCGCACCGGGAAACCCCATGGTTGAAACCCATGGGTGGAAACCTGTAATTGAAACTGTTGATTGCTTTGAAACACCTCATGAAACCACTCGGAAACCACCTCATGAACCCATGGTTGAAACGTAGTGGCTTGGTTGACGTTGGAAGGGGAGCAAACATTCTCAAGTTTTAGCAGTTAAGTGGTTGGAGTTCAACCACACCACAATAAACGAAAAATGCAACATGCTTCGCAACAACATCCATGGTTGCAAAACCACCGAAGGAAACCACCTAAGGAAACCACATCATGAAACAACCATGGAAACCGTTGTTGGCAAACCTAATGAAACCCATGGTTGAAACCCATGGTTGAAACCTGTAATTGAAACTGTTGATTGCTTTGAAACCACCTCATGAAACCACTCAGCAACATGTTTCATGAAACCCCTATGGTTGCTGTTGAGGGGCTACCTGGGTGACGTTGGAAGGGGTGAACATTCTCAAGTTTTCAGCAGTTAAGTGGTTGGAGTTCAACCACTAAACCATAAACAAAAAATGCAACATGTTTCGCAACAACATCCATGGTTGCGAAACCACCGAAGGAAACCACCTAAGGAAACAACATCATGAAACAACCATGGAAACCGTTGTTGGCAAACCTAATGAAACCCATGGTTGAAACCCATGGTTGAAACCTGTAATTGAAACTGTTGATTGCTTTGAAACCACCTCATGAAACCACCTCAGGAAACCACCTCATGAAACCCATGGTTGTAACGTAGTGGCTTGGTTGACGTTGGAAGGGGAGCAAACATTCTCAGTTTTAGCAACGTTAAGTGGTTGGAGTTCACCACTAGACCATAAACAAAAAATGCAAACATGCTTCGCAACAACATCCATGGTTGCGAAACACCGATAGGAACCACCTAAGGAAACCACATCATGAAACAACCATGGAATCCGTTGTTGGCAAACGCACCACCTAATGAAACCATGGTTGAAACCCATGGTTGAAACCTGGTAATTTGAAACTGCTTGGATTGCTTTGAACACCTCATGAAACACCTCAGGAAACACCTCATGAAACCCATGGTTGAAACGTCGTGGCTTGGTTGACGTTGGAAGGGGAGCAAACATTCTCAAGTTTTAGCAGTTAAGTGGTTGGAGTTCAACCACACCACAATAAACAAAAAATGCCACATGCTTCGCAACAACATCCATGGTTGCGAAACCACCGAAGGAAACCACCTAAGGAAACCACATATGAAACAACCATGGAAACCGTTGTGGCAAACCTAATGAAACACATGGTTGAAACCCATGTTGAATCCTGTAATTGAATACTGTTGATTGCTTGATACCCACCTCATGAAACCACTCAGGAACCACCTCATGAAAAACCCATGGTATGGTTGAAACGTAGTGGGTTGGTTGACGTTGGGATAGGGGTAGCAAACATTCTCAAGTTCACATTTTTTAGCAGTTAGTGGTTGGATTTCTAACCACTAGACATAAACAAAATTAAATGCAAAAAGCTCGCAAACAAACATCCATGGTTGCGGAAACCATCCGAAGGAAACCACCTAAGGAAACCACATCATGAAACAACCATGGAAACCGTTGTTGGCAAACCTAATGAAACCCATGGTTGAAACCCATGGTTGAAAACTGTAATTGAAACTGTTGATTGCTTTGAAACCACCTCATGAAACCACCTCAGGAAACCACCTCATGAAACCCATGGTTGAAACGTAGTGGCTTGGTTGACGTTGGAAGGGGAGCAAACATTCTCAATTTTTAGCAGTTAAGTGGTTGGAGTTCAACCACTAAACCATAAACAAAAAATGCAACATGCTTCGCAACAACATCCATGGTTGCGAAACCACCGAAGGAAACCACCTAAGGAAACCACATCATGAAACAACCATGGAAACCGTTGTTGGCAAACCTAATGAAACCCATGGTTGAAACCCATGGTTGAAACCTGTAATTGAAACTGTTGATTGCTTTGAAACCACCTCATGAAACCACCTCAGGAAACCACCTCATGAAACCCATGGTTGAAACGTAGTGGCTTGGTTGACGTTGGAAGGGGAGCAAACATTCTCAAGTTTTAGCAGTTAAGTGGTTGGAGTTCAACCACTAGACCATAAACAAAAAATGCAAAACATGCTTCGCAACAACATCCATGGTTGCGAAACCACCGAAGGAAACCACCTAAGGAAACCACATCATGAAACAACCATGGAAACCGTTGTTGGCAAACCTAATGAAACCCATGGTTGAAACCCATGGTTGAAACCTGTAATTGAAACTGTTGATTGCTTTGAAACCACCTCATGAAACCACCTCAGGAAACCACCTCATGAAACCCATGGTTGAAACGTAGTGGCTTGGTTGACGTTGGAAGGGGAGCAAACATTCTCAAGTTTTAGCAGTTAAGTGGTTGGAGTTCAACCACTAACCATAAACAAAAAATGCAACATGCTTCGCAACAACATCCATGGTTGCGAAACCACCGAAGGAAACCACCTAAGGAAACCACATCATGAAACAACCATGGAAACCGTTGTTGGCAAACCTAATGAAACCCATGGTTGAAACCCATGGTTGAAACCTGTAATTGAAACTGTTGATTGCTTTGAAACCACCTCATGAAACCACCTCAGGAAACCACCTCATGAAACCCATGGTTGAAACGTAGTGGCTTGGTTGACGTTGGAAGGGGAGCAAACATTCTCAAGTTTTAGCAGTTAAGTGGTTGGAGTTCAACCACTAGACCATAAACAAAAAATGCAACATGTTTCGCAACAACATCCATGGTTGCGAAACCACCGAAGGAAACCACCTAAGGAAACCACATCATGAAACAACCATGGAAACCGTTGTTGGCAAACCTAATGAAACCCATGGTTGAAACCCATGGTTGAAACCTGTAATTGAAACTGTTGATTGCTTTGAAACCACCTCATGAAACCACCTCAGGAAACCACCTCATGAAACCCATGGTTGAAACGTAGTGGCTTGGTTGACGTTGGAAGGGGAGCAAACATTCTCAAGTTTTAGCAGTTAAGTGGTTGGAGTTCAACCACTAAACCACAATAAACAAAAAATGCAACATGCTTCGCAACAACATCCATGGTTGCGAAACCACCGAAGGAAACCACCTAAGGAAACCACATCATGAAACAACCATGGAAACCGTTGTTGGCAAACCTAATGAAACCCATGGTTGAAACCCATGGTTGAAACCTGTAATTGAAACTGTTGATTGCTTTGAAACCACCTCATGAAACCACCTCAGGAAACCACCTCATGAAACCCATGGTTGAAACGTAGTGGCTTGGTTGACGTTGGAAGGGGAGCAAACATTCTCAAGTTTTAGCAGTTAAGTGGTTGGAGTTCAACCACTAGACCATAAACAAAAAATGCAACATGCTTCGCAACAACATCCATGGTTGCGAAACCACCGAAGGAAACCACCTAAGGAAACCCATGGGAATGAAACCACGTTTGCTACGGTATTCGGGGACGAGTCATACCGGGCTTTCTGAAAGGTGGTCTTCTGGAGATTCCACCAGGGCGTTCTCAAAAACGGGTATTTCTTTCATGGCACTTACCTTGAATCGAATCATTCCAGGGTGCAGGATTTTGTCCACAGTATGGGGAGTCCACAAGGGGGTTTTCAAATCAGGTGCCTCCAGCTGGTTGGCCTTGTTTTATCATAAGGCTCGAAGTGACCTTGGATTCTGAAAGGATGAGCCCCTCATTGCGTGGTTCTATGTTGTTGAAGTTGCACAGCTTGACTTTGGCCAACACGCAGCTGCAATTTCTGCACACATCAACTGTATGCCTCAGCAACTCTTCACAGCTTCCCTCACGACATCTGGCATTTCTCAGCGGATGTTCAAAGTGAGTCTTCAAGGCCTTGCTTTGCACGTCTGAAGTCAACAGGCCAAACGGGCCCGAGCCTACTTTCTTCCACGGCTTAAAAAGTTGGGTTCCGGTCCCATGCACGCCTGATTCACCCAGAAGGAGTCCCACCCCACCGAACAAAATCAATTTCTGTCGTCCAGAAAGGATAGGAATGGCGAAGACCGCCCTCCCCATCAGTCCTTGTGGGCCCCTGTGTTCTTGCCCAAGCACAGAACCAAAAGATCAACGCCATCCAAACAGGGAAACACCCAGCCCGTTTGGGCCATCCGTAACATATTAAAAAGGACAACCCAAGTTGCAGCCATTGCAAAGCCAAAAAGTGTAGTCTTCGAATGACACACGTATCATCAACCACTGGTTCTCCATCCTGACTGAGCAAAAGCTATCCTCTTGGGGGCTCAATTTTACTTCCGCTGTTCTCCGAAAGATCCTCCAAAGATCAGCCACAAGGAGCAACGGATCGATTCGTCTTTGGCCAGGGGCTTCTGTTTCAAGTCCGCCAACGACCTGCCACGACTTGCCCGCCTCTGCGGGCAATGGCTTCTTGGGCTTGGAGGGCCTGCAGCGCCGTCGGCAGGGCCCGCAGAAAATGCACTCCCGCAGCAGCCTTGGTTCGCCGTGCGGATGCAACGATTTGTTACGAGTGGAGCCCGTTGTGGTGAAATATCCCCCCTACTTTAATAAGAGAGAGGGGGTGGGGGATGGTGAAATCATGCCACTTTCAGGTGGGTCCTAGAATGCTGCCAAGAGAATCATGACAAAGCGCAAGCTGACCACTCATTTTAGCTCACATGCCAATCGAGTTCTCAAAGCTCGTTGACTTTGGGCTCCACCAACCTTCATGAGGCTCCAACCATTGCTCACCAGGGTTTTGGGCGCTGCTCAATAGTACATCTCAGCATTCTGAGAGCCGGGCAAGAGCAAGACATACAAGAGCGTTGGCAAGTTCATGAGGAAGATGCAACCTTAGACGTGCTTTCTCCAAAACGGAGATCGACAAATTTGAGGTCCTTCAAATATATTGTGCTTTGGGTTACCACGCGGCATACGTGCAAACTGTCAACATTCCAAGTTCTGGGTGGTCGTAGCTCCTTACAATTCGGATCCAACACACGGACTCCTGACTGTCCTTGCAAACAACAAGCAAGCTGTTTCCAAAGCACATGTAGACCGGTTTGCTTTTGACAGTTCCAACGACAGCTGTCGCTGTTGAAGCCTTTTCCCTCAAGAATCTCGTTTTGAGCAAATAGCTGAGGTGCAGCTAAGTTTCAGCAAATTCTCAGCATGTTCTGGGCACCCTTTGCAGTGACACAATCAAGCCCACCTGCACCCTGTCACCCCCGGCTGGCCTCAAGCAATCCCAATTTAGTCTATTTTGGGCGCCTAAGCCTCGCAGGTGCTTGGTGGGGCGCCCTCGGCAGGGTGACTTTAAATGCAAAGCCAACCCCAAAGGAAAGCCAGGGTTGGAGGCGGCAACTGAACTGGAGAGGAAGCAAAACAACCAGAAGTTATGACATGTTAACTCTACCTTGACCGAAAACAGTTGCCACACCAACAAACCTTTTCAATGACGACATCTCAGTCAGAAGGTACAATTGATTTCCGAAACATTGCAAGTCATTTCCAGACAAGAGACCTCCGGTACCAGCTTTTCCGAAGTGGCCCCACTGGCCACTCTGAAGATAAAGCTCTCAAGGCCCCTCAAAAGCCTCTCCGCTTCACCGACCCCCGCCACAAAAACATGGCGCAGAAGAACCCCTCACCCCCAGACAGAAACAACAAAACACAATAATCATCGCGTTCCATAAACGAAACGCAAAGCAAACAGCTAAGACCCCAACACGCGGCACACGTTGCGCAGGCGCCCATCGTGACTTGGGTGTGGGTCAAAATTAAACCACTAGGGGACCGCGGGTTTTAGTCCATGTTTCCATTTACCGGGGTTCCCTTTTGGGTTCCTTTTTTTGACCCACAGCCATTTGTGTTTCGCCCCCAAGGCTCTCGAGTTGAAAGAGCCGGGCAGCGCAAGCAGCGCTCCAAGCAGCGGAAGCAGCACTTGGCTTGCAAGGCGAGGCAGGAGCAACAGTCCCTGGCGGCCAAAGTCATTGGAGGCGTCTTGGTAGGTGTGATTGGTGCACTTTCGCACAGGGTGTGGGGGTTGTTGTATTTCCAGTTGAATAAAAAACTGACACAGTTCAACACTGAACGTCTCTGTTGCTTCGATTCCCCACCTCTCCTTTTCCTGTTCTGGGGGCGGACATGGACATTCTTGTTCGATTGTCCCCTCTCCTTAATCTTCCTTGTGCTTTCCCGGGGCTGGACCTAATATGTTTTCCGAGTGTCCGCCGGTTGCTTCCCAATCGGCCCTTCAGGTTTTTTCGTGAAACGCACCGTCAGGTCGTCTGCGATCTTTTGAACAGCGAACTGGGATCCAAAACCCACAGCTTCAGATTTGAGACCTCTCAGCCGGCGAGCCAGATCTGATTATGGACGGATCCCACCAAGGGGGCGAACCACTGTTGAAACAGATCTACCTTGCTTAGCCCGCCTTTCCAAAGGTTGCCAAAGTCAAAACACGGCGCATGCGGGCGCCTGTCTTCGGTGTAGCAGTCTTCCAGAACCACCGCGTTGTCTGTGCCCCGGGTGAACACCTCCTCGTGCAAAGCACTTGGTGATGAAAGGCGTACCACAAATGGGGTGAGCGCATCTGCCATTGCCCCTTACCCGAAAAAGCCTGACTTTTGAAACGCGGACCCATTGGCGGACGTCAATGACAGGGGGTTTGCAAAGGGGAAGGCGGTGGCACAATGGGACCCTTTTTGGGTCACGAGCTCCAACAGCTACGTGGCCCAATTTGGATGATGCCAATTCACCACAGGCTGATAGGGAAATCTTCAAATACCCCGTGGCAAGTCATCCCCCTCATGGAGAAATGCAGCAACTGGGACTGCGGCATCCATTCAAGCTAAACATGTGTAAACGGCACCTGTTAAGGATGGTTGTAAGTGACAGCGAGGAGCACACCATATCACGGGGCCTTGCATTTTTATATATACCAATGCCCTTGTGGCTACTTTGGGCGAAGATCTAGCTCGAAGTCGCAATTTTTGAGTACAAGTGCAGTAAGTACACAAAGCACATTTTGGCAGCTCCGGCTTCTTTTTCGGCCCATTCCTAGGTCTTCCATTTGGTCACTTTTTGGGGCTCCGGGCATTTTGTTTGCTCGTTTCAGATTTTGAGAGGAAATATATGCAATGAGCGGAAAGTTGATTTGGCCAGCTTTCCCTTGGAAAATGAGCGTAAATCGGCGGGACATGAGCGAAAATGGCGGAGACACACACTCACACATCAGAACAATTTTCCCATTGCGTGTTTTTCTCTAACTAAAGACCCAGCTTTGGCTTCCTCCAGAAAATCCAAGAAGGCAGACGACGGCTGAAAAAACGAAAATGCCCACTCGACACGGGGCTTTTTGTGTCGAATCCACCAAGAGACCATCGACACAAAGCTCAGTTTTTCAAGGGTCCATTCGCTGTGGCAAGGCAAGCGAGTTGCCTGATCTGCTGGGTCTGGCCACAAAGATTGCCCAATTTAGACTCAGGCCCCACGCGAAAGGTAAGAGGGACAATGAAGCTAGGTCCTCTAGTAGAGAGGTTGGAATAAGGGTACCAACTTTTTTCTGTAGTCTATTTTACTGGGGGACCTAGAAAGGAAACCCATACAGCCCAAAGTGCCAATGGGCAAAAGGCTACCTCCATTTGCTCAAGTCCCCTGGAAAAAATAACAATATTTCTAGTATTGATAGATTCCTAATTTTAAACCAACAGGGGAAAATGCAAACATATTCTTAACCAAATGGAAGGCGAAGTCCGGCAATGTCAACAGTCCAGTGGCTCCTGGGCGTTTCGCCTGATGCCGTCCCGGTCATCGCCGGCCGATTCCGCCATCTGCTTTGCCACCTGCGAAGCGAAAAAAAAACCAGCGAAGCGGGGCCTGCGAATGGCCGGCTTCCCCCCCTCCTGCTCTTTGCAAAAAGCCATCCTCAAAAAGCCGGTCCGCAAAGCCGTGCTCACTTGCCTTTCTGGGCATGGAAAGCAAAGTTGTGAAGCTCTTCTTCAACCGAGCGGAAGGCCAGTGGATTGATCGGTGCGGCATGCTTCTCACCTTCGGACCTCTGAAACTCGGGGGGAACATTGGGAATGTGAGCCTTACCCAACGACGAAAAAAATATAAAATTAACCTTTTGAATGGCTGAAGGCCGAAGCAAGTCCCTTCGCTGTTCCGAAGCTTGAAGAAAGATTTGCTTGGCGAAACCTACTGTGGATGGACGAAACCCATTTCGCACCACTTTGAAACCATGGTTGAAACCACTACAATCATTGGTTATTTGCAGAGGAATCGAATCATTCCAGGGTGTGTGAAAGGTGGTGCGAAATGGATGTCGCCATGCGCTGCATGTCATACTCTTTCGCCCCGACATGTGCATGAGGAACCTGAGGCACGGAAGTGTCATGAGGTCACAAGGGGATCTGTGGAAATAGGGCAAGGCCCTCCTTTTGGCCGACTTCCGGCTACATGTTCTAACCACTTTGGTTTGAACAGCCTCCCTTTGGCGTCCGGCTGACACAATTTGCCCGGAGCTGTTAAACTTCTAACTGTAGTCCACCAACCTGGACAAAGGGATCAGCAAAAGAAGCCCAACAAAAGCAGCCCAAAGGGGGAACTCAGTTCAAACCAGAAGGGCTTCCTTTACAAAAAGAAGCACAACGATCAAGCCCCGGTTAGAGCGACGCCCCGCGCCAGTTGACACTAGATCGAAATACGGCGAATGAACAGGGTCTGCTTCACTCAAAAGTGATTCAAATGCCCTAAACACGACATGCAAGTTATTGGAAAGCAACACACACACACACACACAAGTTCTCAAAGAAAGACTTGCATTTCCTTGAGCCCCGTCAGGGGAAAAACACCCAACTTTTTCCAGTAGTGACATCGATTCCCTTTAAAACCAACAGGGGAACATAACACATATGTCTTTAAGCAAATGGAAGCCCCAAACAGGTGATGGGAAAACTGGGGAGTTCCCGAAGCTTTTTTGGGTGTTGACTCTTCCCGCTTGACTAGCGTGGAACGTCGAATCTTTTTTGGCGGTTTTGATGGCAACTGCATGTGCTACGGACCTTTTGATCAGACCCACCTTTGCTATCCACCCTAAAAGACAACCATGTAAGATGGCCCTTGTTGATACATGGGACACCACTACCTCCAAACCCTGCTACAAACCACCAGTACCATGGGTATCTGGGTACCTGGGTGTTCAACCAACTTAGGGTTTCAGTGGTTGAACTAGGGGAGGGAAAAAGGTTTAGCACACTTCATCAATAAAATGTCTTTTTAGAAACACTATTGAACTTGTGTTTACTTAATAACAATAATACTAATAGAAATACTATATCTAACAAACAAAAACAAAAAACACTAATAATAACATTAATGATAATAATGATAATAATGATAATACTACTACTACTACTACTACTACTACTACTACTACTACTACTACTACTACTACTACTACTACTACTACTACTACTACTACTACTAATTCTAATTCGAATAAAAATAAACATAATAAATATAATAACAAATACTACTGCTACTACTACTACTACTACTACTACTACTAGTACTAATAATAATAATAATAGTTATCCGTTAATCATACTTCTCCAAGTGAAATTTATTCCGTTCAAACTTTTCACCGAGCTCGGACTCGCCTCCTTGGCCCTGAGGGCCCACTCGTGAGGCCCCAGCGCTTGGCGCAGCAAGTTCGCCAGCCGCGTGGAGTTTTGGTCGTGGTCCCACTTCAGCAACCGGTCCACCTGCCAAAACGCGCAAGAAACCGGGAAACACAGACCCCAAAAGAGCATCACAGCCGTTCTGTGGCTTGAACTGTCCGTTTTTGGCCTTTTGTTGGGCTGTCTGTTGTTGGCCTTAAACGCAAGAAGCCAGCCTTTCTGTGGCTTGAACTGTCCGTTTTTGGCCTTTCGTTGGCCTTTCTGTGGCTTCAACTATCCTTTTGTTGGCCTTTCGTTGCCTGAAGCTGTCCTTGTTTGGCTGAAGATCAGAGACAACAAGCAAATTCTGGTCTTGCTGACGGCTGTATCAAGGCACAGAGGCAATATACCACCCCCCCCCCCTATATGGGAGGTGAGCTCATGGCCCCCAAGTCGACCTGGAAACTTCGTTGCACCGGATGAAGGAGATGTCAGATGAATCTTCGGCATTTGCCTTATGAGTTTCTTTGACATGCGGTTGTTTGTTCAGCTGGAACCTATTTTTTCAAAGGCGACCTGCCGCAAACTCACATTGAAGCTCCGCCCTTGGGAGAGAAGCCGGCCTAATGTAAGCAACACATAGAACCACCAAAGAAACACAAACACACACACACACACAAAAATCAGCACACGTGAGCAAACAGTACTTATCCTCAAAATAGGTAAAGCAAACAACACATTAATACATATGTATACTTGTGCATGGCTGAATATGGACTGCTAGTCTTATCTTTCACACATTGAACAAACAAAACACATACAGAAATAGCTAAACATCATGAATCAACACAAAACAACAAACATGGATGACTAGATAAACACACACACACACAAGTAAAAATAAATGAATGAATGGACAATTAATAAATCATATATAAGTCAAGAACAACACATGTGGTTTGTGCCGGCTGCCCTTAGGGCCAGCGCTTGGATGCACCCCACCTGCTTTCATAGGCTCCGCACCCTTTGCGGGTGGCAAGGTGGTTTCTGAGCCTTGGTTTCCTGATTGGGGCAACTCTTGCGGCGATTTTCTCATGAAGGAGAACCACAAAAGAATGAAACACATCTATGCATACCTTGCACGTTTCAATAAGGGGCCCCTGGGCCTTGGACATCAAAACTCGGGGATTGAGAACAACCAACCACTTTTGAGGTGGTTCTCTATGAACATTCATGGCCATATACAAAACCCACACACACAGGAAAAAAAGTGAATCAAATGAGCACCATGGGTTTGTCTCAAAATAGGGTTGGTGTCCTTCTTGCTTTCCTTTATATAAACCCATCCAAAACGGGTACCCCGAAAAACAACGACGAGCAACGCCCAAAGGAGCAGCCAAACTTCTTGTTTACCACTACCAAAGTGGTCTACCCACCACAAAAGTGACTGATTTCCGAAACCGAACTCAGGAAGTGAGACACACTCATGGACGAAATCCATTTCGCACCACCATTCAGAAACCATAGAATTATTCGATTCCCCAACGTAAATACCGAGAAGCGTGGTAGGTTTCAACCATGGAAACTCATTAACCGTGCAAGTCCCGCGGATGGCTCGCGAAACCATCCACAGCATGGGTACTTTGGTGAAGCAATTTTGGTTACAAAGATGGTTCTAAACAGTCCCTAAGTTGGTATCACCTAGGTGATTTCCCTACCTAAGATGGATACCCAAGATGTAACTAGTTCTTGCCTACCTCAGTTGCTCCCCCTAAATATGTTCACTCTCCTCTCCCCCCCGTGGGCATGCAACATTCATGGACCAATGTGACCGGATTGGCTCACCGCCCGCTTTCCCCCCCCGGCCGATCCCGGCCACCCCCGGCGGCTTTCCCGGAGCCGAGGGCCTTGATGGGCTTCGAGCCGCAGCCCAGCTCCGAGACCCGGGCCGCCCACCAGCGCTGGTCCAGGAGCCTGGGATCTCCGAGGCGATGGCTCGCACGATGGCTCGCGCCGATTTTTCTGTGGGCGTGGCGCTCCCAAGCGCCGGGTGTTTTTTCGGGGGTAAAAGAACGGAGGGCAAGATGAGATCTTCTGTTCCAGGGACCTTGGAATGGCAGTGATCCAGAAAACGGCTTGGAGGTGGCGAATCTGTGGATCCAGCCCTGTAGAGTATTGAAAGAGAACTAAAAGAGTATTAAACAAGGACCAACAAACGGAAGACCAGGTGACTGGCGAGACCCCTCTGCAAGTTGAAGAATTTCTCTGGGTCCAATACAACAAAATCCCAGCTGTTTCAAGTTGAAAAGTCTGCACCTGGAAGACCCTCAGGGATTCCCCTGTAAATACCAAGAAGCGCTATGGTTTCAACCATACTGTGGATGGACAAAATCCTGCACCTCTTGGAAACCATGATGAAATGATGGTGCAGGATTTCGTCCATCCACAGTAGTTTCATTTCGGTGGTGCGATTTCTGGAATTCACGACCATCCACAGTACCATGGGTACTTGGGTGTTCAACCAACTAAGGTAGGTTACAAACATGGTTATAACAGTAACTGGGGTTAGTGCAGAAAAACCTATCCAAGTTGGTTGACCCCATAAGTATGAACATCCACCCACTTCACCATGGGTATGTTGACCCTTGACATCAGCATTTTGGGATTTATTGAGGGGGTCATCCCCATGAGCACTATCACTTTGAAGGGATTTCCATTGATATCGCAGTGTCCCTAAACCACACTTTCTGCCAGTCCTGGCCGTTCAGCCGCCCCAACATGTGGGCTGAAACCTGTGGGAACTGAACCCTCTTGTACTAGGGTTCGAACAGGGACCAAACGCAAGTAATTATCAGATCTGCCATCCTCAAACCGCAAGGCTCGTAAACCCTTGAAAAAATCGGGATACTATTTTAGCGATTTCGGATGCAGTCGCCAGCCATTTTCGCGATTTCAAGGCCCCAAGCCGTGCCCCGAAAAAGATCCACTGCGTTCGGCTTTCGGCTTTCGGCTTGCGACTCCAAAGGGCAGGATACCGCTGGTGATCACCGGGAGGCCGGCGCGCAGGGCTTCCGAGGTCACACCCAGCCCGCCCTGAGCGCGGCGAGCGCGAGCTTCGCAAGCGCTAGCGAGGGCGCTTGGCTTCAGACAAGTGCCACATGTGGGTCTGTTTGGTTTTAAACGAATACCCATTTTCTGCGGTTTTAAAGAGGATCCAAAAGAAAAATCACCATGTAGAGGGGGGGTACCAAAAGACACACCCATTTAGTGCTTGTCCAAGCGGGCTACCATTCAAGCCTCGGTTGCCTCCATTTGCGTAAGTATTTCACACATTTGTAGTAGTGATAGATTCAATTTAAAACCAACAGGAGAAAATAAAGATATGTTCAAGCAAATGAAGGGTTAATTTGGTTTGTATTCGAAGTTAACACGCCCCTGAGTGGGTTACAGAATAAATCCCTGTTCAGCAGGGGTATGAACCACTTTCTAAATGGGATGGTCATAAGCAGGGAAGACAGGCCCAGCCTCCCTCCCAAAACTTTGAAACAGTTTGGTTGCTTCAGAAGTTTGAGGCATTGCTAGGCGAAGTTGTCGCAATGAGTAGCGCGTTCCATTCAAGGATTCGGCGAACCAGAATTTCCGACATTGCTTGAGGTGCAAAGGCAAATATCAAATAGTTGCGTGCCCATATGAGCCATCGTCAATAGTCAATACCGGGAAAACACCAGCCATTTCTCATGAAACCCAGCATGAAAATGATAAAATACTATGTCAACCACACAAGCCACACCCATGTACATCAAATATACCTATCATGTACCCGACTTGGTTTTGTTTCTGGCCAACTACGATGAGCAACCGGGTCCGCTAGAGACATGCTCAAAATTACCCTCTGAATTGTGATCCGTTGGACATGTGACCACTTCAAGGAGGCCATTTGTTGCGATGCTTTTTCCCCCCTTTTTTGGTTCTTTGCCTTTTTTGGCAAGCATGGCTGGGTGTTCCAACTCCAATGGACCCCAAATGCTCAGCGAGGGCCGGGGGCCAGTCCTGGCCAATGACGGCATCCAGCAAGGGGAAGAGTGCTGCAAAGGACGCCCCTGACTTGCGCACCAACAGCCGGCCCTCCTGCGAGGAATGCTGGCAGTTTGTATTTTTCAGATCTGAAGGTCGTGGTTGAAAGTTAAATCTATTTCAGATGGCAAGAGAGCATAGAGAGCGGCTCCTGAAACAACCAGGACTTTTGTCAACAACACTATAAAACATGGCCAAGGGTATATGTCCCATCTGCCAGTTGGCTGAGATGCGAATTGACATCACTCTTTGCATGGCATGTGGTTTGAAGGCTCTGGGGCGAACTTTCTGATTCTGCATGGCGTTGGCAGAATTCTCTGCTGCGAACTCAACACTGGCTGTGTCTTTGATTTCCAACTTGAAACCAACTTTCGAAAGGCAACCCTCAAACACTACACACCCATTTCACCACCGACTGTTCTCTCACTTGCTCAAAGGACCCAGAAATAAAAGGATAACCTTTTCGGGCCATGACTAAAACTAGACCAAAAAGGAAAAACCAAAAGGTCAAAAAGTCGGCTTTGGGCAACTGAGTTCTGAAACCCCATGGGACGTCCAGCCGTTTCTTTGGGAAAGCACTCCTTCTGCAGCGCTTCCGCCGCTTCGTTCGCCTCCGGGCCTGCTGGGTCGTGGTCTTGCCCACCTGCAACGGAAAGTGGGATCGGATTTCATGGGTGCGGTCAACCAACTTAGGTGATAAACATTTCTTTTTCTGCACTAACCCCAGCTGTTGTAACCATCTTAGGTTAACCTAAGTTGCTTGAACACCAAAGTAACGGCTTTTCTGCACGAACCAGTCGCTGTTTTAACCATCTTTGCAACCTACCTAAGATGATTGAACTCCAAAGTACCCATGCTATGTCATGCTACTGTGGATGGTTGTGACATCCAGAAATCGCACCACCGGAATGAAACCATGGTTGAAACCGAAGCGCTTCTTGGTCTTTACAGGGGAACTGAATCATTCCCTTGGGATTCTGAATAGTGGTGCCGGATTTCGTCCATCCACAGCATGCAGACCATAGAACCTCCACAGCTCCAAGCAACAAACCTGAGTTCATGATCTTGAAACACAAGGGCGCAAGCAATTACCTCCACCCAAATGGGCTCGAGACATGGGCCGAAGTTTCAGCTCGATGCTGCCAGTTGCCACGAGAATCCTTCATGAAAACCCTGGAGGTACAAATCTTTGGTTCCCTAAAAGTGGCTTGCCTGGAAGCACTGGGCCAGTTCAGTGGACCCCAAGCGTCAGCGAGGTTATGCCTACCTGTAGGGTGAAATGAGGCAGAGTCACAAAATGAACTCGTGTGTGTGTGTGTGTGTGGTTGTGTGTGTGTGGTTGTGTGTGTGCTTTTGTGGAAGGTCCGCTTTCAGCTGGGTTTAAAGGGAAACCAAAAGAGAAGCTCGGCGCAAGCCTGAAGGTTGGGTGGGGATCTTTGTGCTGCTTGGTCTACATTCGCCGAGAGCCCACCCCAACTTGGTCAGCAGTTGCTGAAACCTTCTTTTGCCTTGTTCAGCACGCACAAGAAAATACTAAACTAAACTAAAACAAGTGGCAATTGTCCCTAGGCTGTAAAACGCAAACATCTTCCACCCAAAGGTGAAAGGTCACTGATGCATTTCGGTGGGTCTCACCGGGTTTCTTTTCTAGGTATTCGAAGCGCGAACCTGCCGCGCCTACCATCGCAATGACCGCCAGGCCCAAAGGTGGCCCGCCCCTCTTCGATGGGAAGACCAGCCTCGAAGGCTGATGGATGCAGGGCGCAACTCTGGGCTTTTGGGCTTCTCTTAAAAACAGCCCCCCAAAGGGCACACTTTTTCATTGAACATGAGTTATTGCCACACAGTTCTAGGGTGAGTTCTCATTTTTATTGGTAGTTTGAGGGTGCAGGTAGCCGCCAAAAAAAGGCGCACCCATATTGACATCAATTTGGAGACATGGTCAAAGCTCCCTGAAAGATCGTGGGTTTGAGGAGTCATGCCTCATGGTATGTTCAATGTGAAATATCCAAATCATACTGCCATCCATCCCCTTGGACTTTTGGGTATCTTCCCAAGGCGTCATGGCCAAACCTCCTTGGAATCAACCGTCTGCGGGAAGGCGCTCGATCTAGGGGCGCGGTTTGGATCACGGGAACCAACTCACGCGAGCAAAAGCAGAACTCCCCCGGCCCTATCAGAAAAAGAAAAGCCGCGCCCTAGTGGAGCTGCCGTCTAATTTGGCCTTCCTGAAAGGTGTCCATTGGAACCCTGAACTCAAACACCTGGAGCCACGGCTCCAACGATTTTTTGGGTTGGCTTTAAAAGGAAACTAGAGTATCTTTGAAGACATAGCAACGGGAGCGATGCATGGCCCCGAACAGTCACGTGCCGTTCCTGTATATGGCCAACCTCGTACTCGAAGAACCTACAAAAACATCGGGTGGGCAGAAAAACAGGTTTTGCACCTGCTACTCGGCGAAAACCAGGTTTTCGATTGAAAAACCTGGTTTGCTTCCTGAAACCCGTACAAACAAACGGAATTAAAGCGTATTTTCCGTATGGCTTTGAAACTAGGTTTCTCCTCTGAAAACCAGGTTATGTTTCGGAACACGTTTTTTTGGGGTAGAATTTTGCAGCAGGAAAGAGTAACCTTTCTCTGCAAGGGTACCCTTCAAAACCACAAGCAGAAGCAAACACAAGGCAAACACAAACAAACACAAGGTAAACACAAGCAAAGAGAAGCAAACAGAAGCAAAGACAAGCAAAGACAAGCAAACACACAACCACACACACACACCATGGAGGTGGTGGCAGAGATCCCAATCCATTCGAAGCTCCGAGGGGCTGCTGTGCGGAACACGCCTCGATGGCCATGTCCAGGATGGTCCTCTCACCTCAAAGTTCGGTCGGATTCGTCTATTTTTGTTGTTATATAAATTTATTTATGATTATTATTATTATTATTATTATTATTATTATTATTATTATTATTATTATTATTATTATTATTATTATTATTATTATTATTATATATATATATATACATATATAACAAAAAAAATCAATATTTAATAAAATTGGCTTTCCGGCACGCTGGGTGGGTTTTGCTTTCGGCCCCCCAAGTGGGCGACTGAAACGTGAGGCTAGCCGCTACAGCCAGTGAAAAGTGGTCATTTCACATGGGTGTGAGTTTCGAGATTCTCCTGTTGGGGTTGTCTTTGAAGGCGATCAAAAGGAGTGATCACAAGCTTCACAAGCAAGGCAACATCTCCGAAAAAGTCCCAAAAGAGCCACGGCAAGTTCGAAATGCCAAGGCTCTGATGCTTGGACCTGTTCACCCGTCGCAACCCGGGCCTAGAGGAGATTCTTCTTTGGGGCCCAGACATTTTTGGTTCAGCCTTGAGGGACAAAGGGCGCCACTGAGTGAAAAAGCTTGGACATGTCCATAGGACTTTCCTGGTTGCCAGAAACAAACAATGCAAAGAAAGCCCCCCAACCACCTGCCCCCCAACCGCCCCAGGCCGTGTGTGGCCTTGCTTTCTTCTGGCAAGGCTTTAACCCTGGCCTTTGGGTCATGTCGAGTCCTCCCCCCAAAATGGAATTGAGTCCCCTTTGCCGTGAGATTTCCATTCTCAGGTTGGGCGATTCAACCGTGACGTGATCGAACAGCTACTGTTTCAACGACGTCTTTTTCGTTTGCCCTGAAAGGGGGACCGGGGTGGAACTGTTTAACACCATGTGCCAAGTTCCAACTTCATTCATTTAAGGATTTCCTTATCAGACAAGTGGCAACCCACTCAATTTCAGACAGTCGCCTTTGAAGGAAGAACACACAAAGCACTGTTGGGTCCCGGCTGTGCAAGCCCCTAAGCCCCAAGCGTCAAAACGTCTGCCTTCTAAAGGCCAAGGCCAACCAAGGCCAACCGGCACGTGTGGGAGTGTTTTCTAGTGTCCCTAGGACTAGGGACCCTAAAACGGCAGTCTCAGTTTGCCCTTGCAAAGGGACCCTGTCCCTGGGGAAACACCATCGACAGCAACAACACATGGAACAAGAAATAGACACCGCAGCTTCGCGGAACAAAAGGGGCAGGCACAACACCGAAACAGAGCAAGACAAAGGCAAACAAATCAACGAATCCGGAGCTGCCAACCTGCCAACCACCAAACACTAACAACCCCAAAAGATAAACAACATCTATCAACACAAACATCAACCCAAAAAGCAAAACCAACAGCCAACATTATCAGGCCTAAAAACAAATGACCCCACAAAAATCTCCGCACCGGGCACCCACCGGCATGGAGGAGAAGGTGATGAGCACGATACGCCGGCCCTGGCGGATGGCTTGCTGCACAAAGGAGTCCACCTCGTTGTCCAAGGTGTCCGCAGATGTTCCTCGGTAGGGTCCATTGGACCTGAATTTGTGGATGGTTGCGAAATCACCAAATTGAAACCATGGCAAGCCGTTGTTTGTTGGTATTTACAGGAGAATCATCATTCCAGGGTGTCTTAGGTGGTGCAGGATTTCGTCCGTCCACAGTATTACTGAAACAATGAAGCCAAGATAGTAGCCTCACGACTACACGTAGCACGTTCATATCATGTCCTTTTGACAACCAGTATCGATCCATTGTATTGATAAACAACTTGATGTAGCACAGTGGTCGCTGTTCACTCGGGGGGAAGCTTGGATAGCCAGTTCCATGTACCGTCTCTTAGGAAAGGCTGAAGGATCTTATCTGCCCAGTCTGACTTGTACAAAATGTTGGCCCTAGTAGTTGGTTCCAAGGGGACGTCCCCGTTACATAGCACCAGTCTGATTCTTGACCGCCGGCTGAGGTAGATGAAGTCCGTGAAGGAGTACTGCGGAAGCTTGGAGAAGTAATCTCCCAGCGCGATGGGGCTGATGGGCACGATCATCGGCACCTGGGTTCTTATTTGGGTGTGCTTTTTTAAAGGTGGGACGCCCAAAAATGGATTTTGGTGTTCCTTTTGACTTCCCTTTCAGACCATCCCAAAACGGGACGCTCAAAAAAGGCACACCCATTAGGAGGGGGTTCTCAAACCACGTTTGTTTTCTCTTTTATTTGTTTTGCGGTGGGCGCATGGTTTTATGGGTTCTCACAACTACTTGTGAGGGTTTCTCTTTAAAGCACTAGGAAAGAGGCCAATTTTGAGGATGTCACTTTCGTGGTAATATCTCAAAAGCACCTAATCGAGTGGGTGACTTGCCAACGTCTCGTTTGGAACATGTGGCAATCAACCGCTTTGTAAGCATCGACTCATTCGGTCCCTGACCCGTTGCCGTTGGCACTGGTTTTATCCACATTCCCTGCCAGGAGCTGGACAAAGGTCAACCTTTTGGACCCTTGACTCAACATGAACCTGTCAACGGGAGGACATTTGATCGCTGAGAAACTCGGGGGGCTTCGATTTGCAGCATTGCCCCTGGATTCCAACTAAGCCTGGGTTAAAAAAACAACGGGGCGCCTTGTTTGAGAGGGGGTCAACGTGGCGCAAGCACTCTATCCAACAGCTTGATTCCTCCGACTCATCTAAAAACCACCAAATTCCCATAGGATCCTCTAGAGGCTTCCGCCTGAGAAAAAAAAACAACATTCTTTTTGCCAGCCACCCGCACATGAACAGAATCCCAAAACAAAGAAAACAACTTGGAACAGCCATGCCAGGAAAAGTGAAGGACAAAAGACACACCGGCTCACCTTTTCGAACCTTCTGACCTTTACTCTCAGTGGATTACCAGAGTCAAGGCCAAACTTGGCCCAGTGATTACGATTGTCTGCATATGCCCATCCTTGAAAGGCAAAAAGGAATAATGGTTATGTACTATACTGGTAACCTCCATTTGCTTAAGTGCCCCGCGAAAAAAAAAAAAAAAAAAAAAAAAAAAACGCAACATATTTCCAGAGTGAGAGATCCCAACTAAACAACCACCAGGAAAAGATAAATAATACTCTGAAATACAAATGGAAGTCTTGAGGTGGGGCCCACCCAAGTGGTACCAACTCCAAACAAAGGGTAAACACGAACTGGGATTCACTGGGTGGCTTGCTTGGGTGTTCCACCAATGTCAGGGTAGGTAGGTTATAGCCATGGTCAAATTCTGGCAATTACCTAAGGTTCGTTGGCCTATAACCATGGTTAAACCCTACCAGACGTTGGCTGAACACCCGAGTAGAGCTCAGATCACATCATTTTGCATGACTGTCCCAACCCTACAACTCACTTCCTGAGTTGCCCACAAAAAGTCTGAATTTTCATTTACCACTAAAAATGGTCTTTCCAGAAAATTCAAAGTCCAGAAACTCGGGAAGTGAGTTCTGAATGATTTCCGACCCCAAACCATTGCAACCCTACTACAAACCACCTGGTTTGTCCAACGTTTGCTTAAGTCAATGGGAAAAAACTAAGAATATGTCAGGTATTGAAATCGATTCCAAATAAAACAAAAACACAACAAGGGGAAAAAGACATATATTCATTTCAGCTAATGGAAACACTACATAGTCTCTGTTCACTAAACAAACCACTGCCACCCGTTCCGTTTTATTTTCGTTTTCCGGACCGGCTCCGTTTTGTGTTTTAAATTGGGTGTTCGGCCAACGTCAGGTACGCAGGGACAAACCATGGTTCCAAGGGAACGATCACTCCAGTCAACCCAGTTAGAACCATTGTTGTAACCTACTTACTAAGTTGGTTCAACGACGAACTAGGCCCCTGGGTTGACCACATGAATCCGTGCGAATCAGGTCATCTCGATATGACTTCGATCCGGTTGTTACTACTTGATGTTGGTGGACCACTCAAGTATATACCCGTGGTACTGTGGATGGTTGTGAAATCCTGCACCACCGGAATGAAACCATGGTTGAAACCATAGCGCTTCTTGGTACTTACAGGGGAATATTCCATTGGGTCTCTTGGGTGCAGACGCTTTAACTTTTTGGTTGAAACGGCTGGGGATTTTGCGTCTTGGACCCACAAAAAGGCTTCAACCAGCAGAGTCAACAGCAAGACCCGCTTGGTATCAACGAAGGCTCAATCCTTCCGGGGTTTCGGAACGGAATTCGCACCCGAAAGGCCGGTTGCAACACTTCCCATGTTCAAGTCGGGCTTTTGAGGGTTTCGGTGTCTGCTATTTGGTAGCATTCTACCACGAACTGATTCGATTCCACAACGAATTTCGCAACCATCCACCGTCTTGGTATTCTCCCCAAAGAATGGGAATCACCCCAATACTTTTGGGTTGCAACAACCCATTTGTTAGTTGGATTTGTTTGAGGGGCTGCAACAAAACAAACCCATTGTTGGTGGAGTTCCCAGAATTCTGGGTAACAATTCACCATTTTTGGTGGGATTCCCCCAATACATATTGGGTCGCAATTCCATTTTTGGCGGAATTCCCACAGCACTGTGGGTCGCAATTCCCAATTGTTGGTGGAATTCCCCAAAAATGGGGTTGGAATTCCCCCATTTTTGGGCGGAATTCCCACAAACACGTTGGGTTGCCATAAAAAAATCCGAACGTTGGGTCGGATTTCTCCCCGTGGCTTTCTGAAAAATTCCTTGCCCCACTTTTCGCGCGGTTTGTGTAGCGGGCCCGTATGGGCCCCGGGTCCCGGGGCTCGCACGTTCTGCTTCTGGAGCTCCTCGAAGTGGAGCATGGAGTCGGAGATGCCCGGGGCGGGCTCCAGGCCCCGGGTCTTGCGCAGGCGGTTGAGGCTCAGCCCGTGCATGGACATCTGCCTGGGGTTTTCCCAGAGGGAAGCCGGAGGAAACCGGAGGAGAAACGGATGAAGATTTGAGGAAAGCGGGAAGGAAAACCCGGAGGGAAACTGGAGGAAAACGAGGGAAACAAGGGAAACAAGGGAAAGTGACATCTTCCTGAGAAGCCAAAGGAGAACCAGAGAAAAACAAGAACCAGAGAACCAGCGAGCCTGGAAAGCGAGAGGAAAACCGGGAGGAAACCCGCGGAAAACGAGGAGGAAACTAGGAGGAAATGAAACTAGGAGGACACTAGGAGGAAAACAGAGGAAAGCAGAGGAAAGGACAGGAAACCAGAGGAAAACTGGAGGAAACTAGGAGGAAACTAGGAGGAAAACAAGGGGAAAACCGGAGGAAAGCAGAGGAAAGCAGCGGAAAACAAATCAGAGGCAACCAAAGGAAGCCAAGCCCATTTTTTCGCCCAAGCGACTCAGTGACCGGGTCGATGGTTACCTGTTGAGTCTGACAACGTTGCAATGACAGTTTTTTTTGGGCCTGGACGATACATACTTTCAAACCACATGGGATGTGGCCAGTTGATGAATTATTTCAGACCTTGCGCAATCTTTCAGCAGCAGGGCTCCGAAGTATCTGGTTGCCTCTGGTAAACGAAGTCACCGTCTTCAGTCTTCGCCGCATTTCGTTTTGAGGCCAAGGTTTGGACAGGCTTCGGTGAGGAAAGCGGGTGTAGAAAACTGCAAAAAGCACGGCCAAGCATGTCTGACCTGACGATCTGGCCAAGGTTGAATGTGTTGGCCCTTGACGAGAATTATGAAACCGGGCGCACGTCTGGAAATTCACATCCAGGAGAACCAGAAGAAAACACACAGCAAAGGCTTCCAAAGACTCCACAAACCGCAAAGCAACACGAGAAACTAAAACACGCATGCACGATCATACTAAACAGGACGACACCCTTGGCAAAGACATGCCCTTAGACCGTTGAGAAGTGAAGCCTCCTGGGAGATTTATGGAATCAACCAGAAGGGTGCGGGCTTCGGAGGATGCGGGCGATTGCTTCAAAGTTTACTCCAAAAGGGGCAATCCCAAAAACACCGGGACCACAAACATGTTTGACACCCCCAAAAGCATCAAGTCCCCCCCTAAAAAAGGTTTCCTTCCTAAGTGGATGCGCCAAAACAAGTAACACTAAAATGGTCCAGGCCGGACCCAAAAAGTGACTTGAATACCTGGGCCCTCAAACTGAAAGGGGATTGATACACCCCCGACTTTTGAGGCAACAACCTATTTCTATTGGAATTTGGCGGCTTTTTAGGTACCTAAGCTGTTACCAGCTCCAAAACCTGGGACTTCACCTCCCCCCCCCACCATTAACCCTCCGGCGCAGGCGCTGGGCCACGCTCATCAGCGCGGCGTTGAAGCCCTCGGAGTTCATGGCCTGGCGCGTGGGGCCCAGCAACATGTCCAGGTGCGTGGTCACGTCCCGGCGCTCCTGGAGAGAGTCTCGTCTTTCGACGAAGGTCAGAATCGATGGCAGGGGATGAGAGTTTTGGAATGAGCTCGGAAAAAGAAGAAAAGAAGAAGACACATTCAACTGGTGGTTTCCTTGGAATCGAGGAGTCGTGTCTATAGTCGCTTCAGCATTTGTTCGTTTGCACGGCAAACCGGTTCAAATTCCTGTGCCCAAAGTAACTTAGGCGCGACCCCCTCTGAAACTCCAGTGGGTCTTGGAGCGGATCCGGTCGCCCCTTGGATCGGGCCGCGGAATTCTCCAGATGTGGCCAGGTGCCAGGGGCGTGGCGAAAATTGGAAACAAAGACCTGGTTTGGGGTGAATAGGAAGTGTCATATATAGAGACAGGGTGGGATGATGACTGTGCCATGAAACCCGGATTTGAATCGGCGAATCTGAATCGTTTCTTGCGAAGTGAATCTACCCACAGACCCACTTGTTGAAGGTTACACTCCCGCAGACTCATCTGTAAATTAGCCTCGGGGAGGCTAAGTAACCTCCGTGTTGCCAGCCAGTGGAAAATGCTGGATCAAATGCTGGATCAGGGTCAGTTCATCAACGTGGCAAACCGGCTTTGAGCCAACGCCCTGAGCAGCGGGCTTACGCTTGCCGCTTGTTTCCCCACCAGCGCCTCAGCAGGGTGAACTTTAAACAATTCCGTATCAAGTTTGTTCCGAGCCCTTAAAACCTAGTGGGATTTCTTCTGTCTGGCCCTTGCGATGCTTGCCGGACTTCTCTTCGCATGAGATGGGTTCTACATCGCTCGGGCCATAAACTGCCCCACATCTGCAAGCGTCTCCTAGCCGTGGCTCACTTTCAACGAAACAGCGGTTCCTATTGCGCTAGCATATCGGATTCTCGAGTGAACCCAAACAAGCACGCAGATCACAGTTCAACTCCAAAGGCAATACACTTGACTTGATAAGCCACCCCAGCCAGGGTTCCACTTTTTGACTACCCCAAGGTAGGCTTACACCCAGAAGTTTGGGGGGAATCAAGCTCCGCTGGGGTTTCAGTCTACCTTGGGGCAGTCGAAAAGTGGGTTCCCCCTGACTCCACCTACCTGGAGTCTCCATGACCCTTCAAAAATGGGTCCATGCCCCCTTTAATTTGGGCATGACCCTTTTTTAGGGGTCAAGGAGACTCCACCTATTCTGATCGTTTGGGGTTTGAATCGACGACTTTTTCCGATTCAGTCCTCGATCTTGTGATCAGGCTGGCAGATGAAACCCACGATGGGGATTCCCAAGGCCTCCCCCACAATCATCGCCTGCGGCGCAGACCGCCCCGAAAAGGGAAGCCCACGCCGAACCCCCCGGTGACTGGCAAGACCTTTCGCGGCCGAGGAACAGGGGCAACTGTTTGGTTGAGTGAGTTCAAAGGGAAGCCCGGCAACACTTCGTCCTAATGGGGAGCCTCACTTTGCAGACAGGACGTTAACGAGAGTTGTGGGTCCCTGAAAAAAGGAAGGGCACATTGCCATTGCCACTAGGAGGGCTTGTCCAACCCCACCCGAGTTGTTGATTCTCTACCTACCTCTGGGTCTTGAGCCCAAAAAACCGTTGGGGCCTTGTTTCTCATGTCGGCCTTAACATCAACCTCTTTCTCGCGAAAGGCAAATTTAGGGTTGGGATCTCTTACCATTCTACCCGGGGCTGTGATCCTCTCAGGAAAGAACTTGGTGCTCAGGGAACAAGGGAGGGGTTCCCTCATTCACGGAGCACCAAGGCGAAACACTCCCCGGTTTCGACTCCGGGTCCAGGTTTCGCGGGCTCTGATCCGAACACATCCGATCCGAAGGTCGCGGCTCGGATCGCGAAGGCCGTGGTGCGAGGTGGGTCACCGTGAAGCCGAAGACGATGAAGTCCGGCTGCTCCTCCAGGGCCCAATGGTAGCCTAGCGCCAAAGCGCCAGTTCGGCGGCGCGTGTGAAAGCGGCTTTTGGCGGGTTTCCGGGTCTCTTGGTGGTTGTTCAAGGGAAACCAAAAAGCGCAAAGTGGACAATTTCGCAGGAAATGAAGCCTTGTGGTTGAAACCATAAGGTTTGTGTCTCATGTATAGGGGAATCGAATCATTCCTGGATGGTTGCGAAATCCGCTTCATTGCGCACCCCGAGTCATGAGTTACCATGGGAATGAAAGCAGAAGGTTTGTTGGCATTTTTGTCGGGGAATCGAATCATTCCAGGGGTTCTGAACGGTGCAGGATTTCGTCCATCTACAGTATCTCACCTTTTGGTGGAGTTTGCTTGATACCGTATCCGTCCGCAGCTGAATGTCATTTTCAAAATGGCCAAACTCTATCCCTCTAGCAGCTTCGTGGAGCAAGCGCAACACCACATCCCCTCGAAGCAAAGGGCCGGGCCTACAGTAGCTGAAACAAAAAGAGTTATCTATCAAATCAGAGCCTTCAAGTGTTGCCCTCCCTCCCCGGCCCGACTCCCAATGTGGAAAAGCGCCTCTCGGAAGGGGGTCGTCAAACGTGGGTTCCCAAATGAGAAGCTCCGAATCGCATCTGTTCGTATTGATAACTGCGCTCCAATTAGGAGAATTGCACCATGCGTTTCCATCCCCATTCGCAACCCACGAAGGATGGCCTTTGATCAATAAAGCTGCGGGCAAAAAATACTCACTAAGCGGAAAGAAGGAATCCTAAGTAAAGAAGTTGTATCAGTGGGCTCGTTTTACGCTGGCAACCCATTGAAGATCTCAAGGACCAACCACCCCCGTAGTCTTGCTGGTGCTCAGTAGTAGAGAATCAGGGAATGAACCCAGGGATTCCCTTAACGGCAATCACAAGGGACTGTTTATAAGGGTCATTCCTGCTGAGCACCAACAAGTAGTAGGGAGTTAGTACGCCACATGCCAGCCCCAAAAGTGGGGGTGGGTTTCCTGTTGGTTTCCTTTAAGCCAATTCCAACTAAGGGTAATTATATGCTTCGCCTCACAAAACAAAACGCCCCAAGGGAATCGTTGGCAACCGAACTTGGTGGTTGACACAAAGGAATCTGGCTCAAGATCAGCTTCCAGAGTGCTTCATCTTCAAACAAAACCCTTACCAATAGAGAAAAAAAAACAAACTGGTTGAGCCTCATCCAATTGCTTCTTTTGTCTCCGTCCCCTGGACAATTGAAACAATCCCTTAAATAACAAGCAACACAGGAACATCCAAGGTTCCACCAAGGAAAAACTTGACCATGGATCTTCATTTCAAACAGTCTCTTTTTTTCAAGCCTGGAGAACTCTCCCGTAGGCTTTCGATCTATTCTCGGTAAGGACACGGATGTCGGGTCCTTCCAAGAAAGCCATGATAGGGATCTCGTAATCGATGCCCCCCCCTCCATTTGTTGAAGTCCCCTGAAAATAAGGCAGCCGTGATAGATTCCCTTTGAAACCAACACAGGGAAATAAAACATATTCCTGTCAGCCACCTCCATCTGCTTCAGTCCCTTGAAACAAAAACAGCAGTGATAGACATTTGAAGCGAACCGGGAAAAATTACACACACGCATATGTACATATATATATATATATATGCATTATCCTCTTTTCAGCTTGACTGGACGCCCTTTCCGCGCCGTGCGGCAACACCCCTCGGAGGGGAAGAAGTTCTTCTCCTGGGCGGAGAAGATCACGGACTGCAGCAGGTCCTCACGACGCACAAAAAATCGGAGTTGATCCTCGAGGACTTTGGAGCCCTCCTGGGAGCCTGCGGATGGACGAAGTCCATTTCTCACGGTTCATGAGGTGTGGGAATGAAGCTGTATGGTTTGGTTCGGTAGTTGCGTTGGATCAGACGAGTTTCTTGGGTTTCTGGACGGCGGCGCGATTTCTGGATTTCGCAACCATTCACTGGCCAGAGAACTCTTCTGAGGAACGCCAGGTACGAAGATTCATATCCCAGGAATGAAGAAATGCCGTAAATGGGTAAGGGTCAAACCCTTTTGGGTGTCGTTTTTTGGCTCGGGGACATGAACCCACCGAATCGGCGTCTGGCCATGAAGCCGTGGTTTTCTCGTGAGAGAGGGAACCGAGATAAGCTCACGACAAGAAGTTCCTTAGGATAGCCTTCCGCGCGACTAACCACATTCCCCTCGTCCTATCCAAAAAGGGAACAACGCACGGCCTTGTTCACGTCTTACTTCAAGCAAACCAACGCAGGTAGGCAGGAAAGCCCTACAATAAATTTTGACCAAACCTCACATGCATAGAGTGTCCTGAAATGAGAAGGGACCCCCGTCTTAAAGCTAAGCCAAGAGGTCCTGAAATAGCTCCACTGCTACACTTACTTGAGCTTCCAAGCGGTAAGGACTTGGGAATCCGAGGTAGGGACCTTCATCGGTGCGGTGTTCCCCAAGGTGAACTCTCCATGGAATCACCAATGCAGCAAATGGAAGGCACCAGAGCCGAACTCGGCTGCGGTTGTGGGGTTGGCCTGGCTTGTCTCCTCCAAAAAAGCAGGCCTTTGAACTTTGACCGCGGGTGCTTGGGGACGCTCTGCGGGGTCGTGCAATTTGTGTAGGGTGCCCTCCACCCAACACTCGCCGGATCCGAAATCTCAGAAGGGCAAACAGTTACCATGAGTGACACCTTGTTATTTTGGAACTTTGGAACTTTTAAACACTTTTGGTTTGATTGGGGGCCTCCTGACTTTACCACCACAGCAAGCCACTAGATCGTAATCAATGTGGCTCATACCCACAAAGGTCGTGGGTTCAAGTCCCACCGGAGCTCGCTCACGAGTTAGGAGCCGAAAAATGAGAAACATCTCTCCAGGGTCAAGGGACTTCTGGGACACATGCAAAGCATGGCTCCTTTTTTGGAGGCGAGGACATTTGGACAGAAATCCAAAACACAGCAACGTCCGGTTTTTGTGCTTTATGACATAGAAGAGATCCAAGGGTTGCCATCCCCCATCAGCCAAGTCCTTGGAAGGGTGGTTTGCGGGGTCCATAAGGCAGCCGACTCTCCCAGCTTCGTGCTTATGCACCCCACCAAAGATGGCTGGGGCGCTTTGAAGGGTCCCAGACTTCTGCAGCCTATCAAGTCCAGCCTTCTCACCACAGGCCATAAGCACCAACATGACGTGAGGATGGTCATCCCTTCGGACATCCGCAAAAAGGGTATTTGGCCCAGCGAGATTCAGCTAGGCGGCCCAAGCTGAGTCTTGCAAGTGAGGTGAACCAAGAAGCAAGTGCCATTCTTTCCAGGCATCCTTCTTTCTAGAAAACCTCCGGAACCCCTCCCCCCCCTCTCCCCCCCTCCCGCCTAACCGAGACCCAACTCCCCTCCCCGAAAAACGTCTCAAGCTCCGAGGCGCGTAGTGCTGCCCCTCCCAGGTGATGAGCTGCGACAGCGCCGTGCGGGTCTGCGCCATGGTGTCCCCCCCGCTCGGCCGGAAGAGCAACGTGCCCTGCCGACTTCTCACCGATTTCGCGTTTGGTTCGGAGCTCGGCCGAGCATTTTCCGTTTTCCCGGTTCCCCCCCCCCATTTTTTTTTCGGTGGGGTTAAAGGTGCCGAGTTTTGGAGGTTCGGGACCTTGTTTGGCGGGTTCCCGCGTTTTGGGTGGGTGTAAGGGTACCTATTCTGGAGGCTCCCCTTGTTTTGGCTTGTTGGAGGGCATTTTTGGAGTTGCAGGTATCCCCACCGCCCAACGTGGAACCTGACTGGGGTTCGGGAAGAAACATGTTCCTCTCAAGGGGAGCTTTTGGTGGGTTTCACGGTAGTCGCTGCGAGGGTTTACCTTGCAGGGAATTCAATGGGAACCCACTGTCATTTGCTCCCAAGAGTGCATTGAATAGAAAACACAAGCAGACTTTTAAAAAAGAAGGAAAAACAAACTAGATATGACACATTGGCATTTATCTTATTGGGCGTGGTCAACCGATTCTTTTTCTTTTTTGGCGGGAGGGGGGGGGCTTGCCGCTTGCCGCTTCCTGTGGGCGGTTTCTGGAGCGGAAGCCTCGCGGGCCCCGAAGAAGCTTTCCGAGATCTGCCCCCTCTTTTTTTCCGCCTCGTTAAATCGTCCCCTTAAAAGGAAACTCAGAAGGATATGGGTGTCCTTTTCTAGGGCGGACCGGAAAAAAAAGTGGTGCTCCTGTTGGTCTCCTTTTTAAAACCCACGAAACAAAGGGGTACCCTCAAAACGGACGCACCCATGTGGGGCTTGACGAAGCTCCAGAGACCACCCCGCAACTTGGTTGCTGTTGACCCCCCTGCAAAAAGTTAACATTTTTGTGGAAAACCCAACTTGATGTCCCAAAAAGTTTAAGTCTAAAGACCTTTTTGTGGAAAACCCAACTTGATTTCCCCCCAAAAATAAGTCTAAAGATCCAACCCAATAGCAGTGAAGGCAAAACCATCGAGGGCCAATAAGCCTTCGAGGGAAGGGCAGCAACACCAACGAGGGCCGTAAAGGGCTGAAAGCTCGAGAGCTACAAGAGCCGTGAAGCCATCCCCGGTGGCAACTGCAGTTCCCTGGTAGCAAGAACCAACAGAACCACATAAATCCAGCTCCTCTCTGCAGTTCCACTCTGCAGCTCCTGTCTGCAGTTCCTCTCTGCTTCTAATTTGCATTGTAACAAACAAAACCGTTAAACCAGACGGTGAGGGACATCCCTGGCAACCTATCAGGGCGCTAAGTGGATACTTGAGCTTCTTTGTTTCTCACGCCCGCTACACAGGCCGAGTCTGGCAAATACCAGGCGACTGGATGTCGCTGACATCCACAACCTTCTGAGTGATGCAATCACTGAAAGGGTAAGAAACGACCTTCAAAACGCGATTTCACGCTGCATTTCAAACTCACCAAAAGAACATGAACAAACGAAACCTGCTTCTGAGATTCTGCCTGCAAGGAAGCGCTGCGTTCACTTCCAGCAGCTGAGGCCAAGATCATTTTTGCTCAGAAGGCAGGTGTTGCTGTAGACCGTGTTCTTGTAGAGCTTGAAATCAGGCTCATCAGTGTTGGTATAGTCTGCCAGCTTGATCCCGCCTGCACCCCTCTTGGCCTGTTTCACATTTCCTGAGCTGTCATACCACCACATGGTGAACTTGTCGCTGCCGAGATCTTCAAGCTTCAATTTGGTGTAGCTCTGGCTCCCTTGGGCCTTGCAGTAAGCCACAGACATTGAGCTCGTTCCACAGGTCACCGACTTTCCTGAGGCACTGCGGCGACGGGTGCCGTACTTAGACTGGAGCTTGCAGTACCCATCTCCCTGATCCACAAACAGGAACTGGTCCCGGTTGTTGTTGTTTGTGCTGCAGCTGGCGGTGTCCAAGCTCGCTGCACCTCCAGTGTTGGGACCCTCGAGGCAGCTGCCCCCATAAATCGTAAAGGCAAGGGAGTAGGAGTCTGTGCTGGACCCGCAGTTCACGGTGGTTGTTGTGGTGGTTGTGCGCCGTCGGCTGCGCCGGCGCCTTGAGTTCTTGCCCTGGACCGCATCTTCCAGCTCCAGTTCAGAGTCCCCGCGGGCGCGGGCTCTCTCCACCAGGGAGTCCTCGATGTCCTCCAAGTCCTGCTCGGTGCGTTCTGCAACCTCTGCCTCCGTGTGGGCAGTAGAAGCTTGAAGCGTGCGGTTGGCAGCGGCAGAAGCTTGAAGCAGCACTGCGCCTGCTGCCTTCGCACCCTCGCATTCATCACTCTCCGACTGAACCACTGCAAGGAGGACAAGGCACAGGCGCAAGACGCTGCGGCTCAATGCAATCATGGCGGCAATGACTAAAATGAGACGAGTATCGGGGTAAGATGAGCAAAAGCTTCGCAGCCATTAGCGAAAGTGTGCAAAGGGTGCCCTAAACAAACACAGACTGACCCACATGATCAATCTTAGGACCCCTGTTTGTGAACAACGGATATACATGGATATACATGGCAAATGCATGGCAAAACCACCGTTGAAATCCCTGGCTCCCTATCAGGATGGTAACTGGGTCCACGGGGGATACTTGAGCTTCTTTGTTTCTCACGCCCGCTACACAGGCCGAGTCTGGCAAATACCAGGCGACTGGATGTCGCTGACATCCACAACCTTCTGAGTGATGCAATCACTGAAAGGGTAAGAAACGACCTTCAAAACGCGATTTCACGCTGCATTTCAAACTCACCAAAAGAACATGAACAAACGAAACCTGCTTCTGAGATTCTGCCTGCAAGGAAGCGCTGCGTTCACTTCCAGCAGCTGAGGCCAAGATCATTTTTGCTCAGAAGGCAGGTGTTGCTGTAGACCGTGTTCTTGTAGAGCTTGAAATCAGGCTCATCAGTGTTGGTATAGTCTGCCAGCTTGATCCCGCCTGCACCCCTCTTGGCCTGTTTCACATTTCCTGAGCTGTCATACCACCACATGGTGAACTTGTCGCTGCCGAGATCTTCAAGCTTCAATTTGGTGTAGCTCTGGCTCCCTTGGGCCTTGCAGTAAGCCACAGACATTGAGCTCGTTCCACAGGTCACCGACTTTCCTGAGGCACTGCGGCGACGGGTGCCGTACTTAGACTGGAGCTTGCAGTACCCATCTCCCTGATCCACAAACAGGAACTGGTCCCGGTTGTTGTTGTTTGTGCTGCAGCTGGCGGTGTCCAAGCTCGCTGCACCTCCAGTGTTGGGACCCTCGAGGCAGCTGCCCCCATAAATCGTAAAGGCAAGGGAGTAGGAGTCTGTGCTGGACCCGCAGTTCACGGTGGTTGTTGTGGTGGTTGTGCGCCGTCGGCTGCGCCGGCGCCTTGAGTTCTTGCCCTGGACCGCATCTTCCAGCTCCAGTTCAGAGTCCCCGCGGGCGCGGGCTCTCTCCACCAGGGAGTCCTCGATGTCCTCCAAGTCCTGCTCGATGCGTTCTGCAACCTCTGCCTCCGTGTGGGCAGTAGAAGCTTGAAGCGTGCGGTTGGCAGCGGCAGAAGCTTGAAGCAGCACTGCGCCTGCTGCCTTCGCACCCTCGCATTGATCACTCTCCGACTGAACCACTGCAAGGAGGACAAGGCACAGGCGCAAGACGCTGCGGCTCAATGCAATCATGGCGGCAATGACTAAAATGAGACGAGTATCGGGGTAAGATGAGCAAAAGCTTCGCAGCCATTAGCGAAAGTGTGCAAAGGGTGCCCTAAACAAACACAGACTGACCCACATGATCAATCTTAGGACCCCTGTTTGTGAACAACGGATATACATGGATATACATGGCAAATGCATGGCAAAACCACCGTTGAAATCCCTGGCTCCATTTCATCTGGGGAATCGGATTGGTAACTGGGTTCCACTGGGGAATATTGAGCAGTCTTTGTTTTGCACGCCCGCTACACAGGCCGCTGAGTCTGGCAAATACCAGGTGATTGGATGTCGCCGACATTCAAAACCTTCTGAGTGATACTCCTACTGAATGTGTGGCAAGGGACCTTGAAAAGGCCATTTCAACCCGGGTCGCCCATCTCAAACTCACCAAAAGAACATGAACACATGAAACCTACTTCTGAGATTCTGCCTGCAAGGAAGTGCTGCGCTCACTTCCAGCACGTGAGGCCAAGATCATTCTTGCTCAAAAGGCAGGTGTTGCTGTAGACCGTGTTCTTGTAGAGCTTGAAATCAGGCTCATCAGTGTTGGTATAGTCTGCCAGCTTGATCCCGCCTGCACCCCTCTTGGCCTGTTTCACGTTTCCTGAGCTGTCATACCACCACATGGTGAACTTGTCGTTGCCGAGATCTTCAAGCTTCAATTTGGTGTAGCTCTGGCTCCCTTGGGCCTTGCAGTAAGCCACAGACATTGAGCTCGTTCCACAGGTCACTGACTTGCCCGAGGCACTGCGGCGACGGGTGCCGTACTTAGACTGGAGCGTGCAGTACCCATCTCCCTGATCCACAAACAAGAACTGGTCCCGGTTGTGTTGTTTGTGCTGCAGCTGGCGGTGTCCAAGCTCGCTGCACCTCCAGTGTTGGGACCCTCGAGGCAGCTGCCCCCATAAATCGTAAAGGCAAGGGAGTAGGAGTCTGTGCTGGACCCGCAGTTCACGGTGGTTGTTGTGGTGGTTGTGCGCCGTCGGCTGCGCCGGCGCCTTGAGTTCTTGCCCTGGACCGCATCTTCCAGCTCCAGTTCAGAGTCCCCGCGGGCGCGGGCTCTCTCCACCAGGGAGTCCTCGATGTCCTCCAAGTCCTGCTCGATGCGTTCTGCAACCTCTGCCTCCGTGTGGGCAGTAGAAGCTTGAAGCGTGCGGTTGGCAGCGGCAGAAGCTTGAAGCAGCACTGCGCCTGCTGCCTTCGCACCCTCGCATTGATCACTCTCCGACTGAACCACTGCAAGGAGGACAAGGCACAGGCGCAAGACGCTGCGGCTCAATGCAATCATGGCGGCAATGACTAAAATGAGACGAGTATCGGGGTAAGATGAGCAAAAGCTTCGCAGCCATTAGCGAAAGTGTGCAAAGGGTGCCCTAAACAAACACAGACTGACCCACATGATCAATCTTAGGACCCCTGTTTGTGAACAACGGATATACATGGATATACATGGCAAATGCATGGCAAAACCACCGTTGAAATCCCTGGCTCCCTATCAGGATGGTAACTGGGGTCCACAGGGGATACTTGAGCTTCTTTGTTTCTCACGCCCGCTACACAGGCCGAGTCTGGCAAATACCAGGCGACTGGATGTCGCTGACATCCATAACCTTCTGAGTGATGCAATCACTAAAAAGGTAAGAAACGACCTTCAAAACGCGATCTCACGCTGCATTTCAAACTCACCAAAAGAACATGAACAAACGAAGCCTGCTTCTGAGATTCTGCCTGCAAGGAAGCGCTGCGTTCACTTCCAGCAGCTGAGGCCAAGATCATTTTTGCTCAGAAGGCAGGTGTTGCTGTAGACCGTGTTCTTGTAGAGCTTGAAATCAGGCTCATCAGTGTTGGTATAGTCTGCCAGCTTGATCCCGCCTGCACCCCTCTTGGCCTGTTTCACATTTCCTGAGCTGTCATACCACCACATGGTGAACTTGTCGCTGCCGAGATCTTCAAGCTTCAATTTGGTATAGCTCTGGCTCCCTTGGGCCTTGCAGTAAGCCACAGACATTGAGCTCGTTCCACAGGTCACCGACTTTCCCGAGGCACTGCGGCGACGGGTGCCGTACTTTGACTGGAGCTTGCAGTACCCATCTCCCTGATCCACAAACAGGAACTGGTCCCGGTTGTTGGAGTTTGTGCTGCAGCTGGCGGTGTCCAAGCTCGCCGCACCTCCAGTGTTGGGACCCTCGAGGCAGCTGCCCCCATAAATCGTAAAGGCAAGGGAGTAGGAGTCTGTGCTGGACCCGCAGTTCACGGTGGTTGTTGTGGTCGTTGTACGCCGTCGGCTGCGCCGGCGCCTTGAGTTCTTGCCCTGGACCGCATCTTCCAGCTCCAGTTCAGAGTCCCCACGGGCGCGGGCTCTCTCCACCAGGGAGTCCTCGATGTCCTCCAAGTCCTGCTCGATACGTTCCGCGACCTCTGCCTCCGTGTGGTCCGCAGTAGAAGCTTGAAGAGTGCGGTTGGCAGCGGTAGAAGCTTGAAGTAGCACTGCGCTTGCTGTCTGGGCACCCTCGCACTGATCACTCTCCGACTGGACCACCGCAAAGAGGACAAGGCACAGGTGCAAGATGCTGCGGCTCAACGCAATCATCGCGGCAATGACAAAAATGAGACGAGTATCGGGGTAAGATGAGCAAAAG